CCCCACAAAATGATGATACGAGCAACAACTTAGCTATAAGGATGCTTATCACACGGTTCTTTTTTCTTTAAAGAATGTTTTCAGAATAGGTAATGCATGTGCATGTTTTTAAAAAAGCAACGGTTCAAAGAGTAGCGTGAAGGGGTCGAGGTGGTGCAGCGGTCAGCTAATGCCCTCCGAGGCTGGCCAGAGCGGGAAGGCCTAGGTCAGATCTGTAAACCTCCCGAGTGCGCTGGCCCACACACAGCCACCACCTGGCTGAAGCTGGGGGTGGACCTCAGTGCAGGACCTTATCCTGGGGGCTCTCCCTCACTCACGGAGGAAGGGAAGTTAAAAAACAAGTACTGGAGGGACCAGCAGTTAGCATAATGACTATGTCACTGGACTCCCACGTAGTCGACCATGGTTCGAGTCCCGGACCCGGTGGCTTAAACTCACGCTGGGCGCGTGTGCGTGCGTGCCCAAGATCCCCAGAGGAGAATGGAGGAGAAGGGATTGCGGCATGGCCATCCCCCCTGGGGGGTGATTTCTCGCTTTCTCTCTCTGTGTCTCTGTCTGTTGAGCGCACGCGCCCTATAGCAAAAAAACCTCTCCAAAAAAAAAAAAGTACTGGACAGTGGAGAGTCTCCACCCAGCCCTGGCGGCAGGCATCCCTCCCGAGGTCCCTCTCCGGGAAGCACCATTTCTTCACCCAGAGGTCCGGGGCTAGTTTGGGCACGAGTTACATCGTGGCCTCCTCCTAACACGTATGTTTAGCTCTCCATTGTAGGCGCAGGTAGTGCTATGGCCGCCCAGTCGTGCATCAACGGGACAGGGGTCGTCCCATTTTCTGCTGCACAATGCTCCATGTCCTTGTACCCCTGAGCGCTCACCCGCCTCCAAGGACACCGTGGGGAGATCCCCAGAAGTTAAATGGCCTGTCAAAGGCACAGTCGTGTCTTTCTGTAGCCCGGGATTAGGAGCACTCTGAATTTTCCGTGCTAAGGGAGGGACAGTAATATTTGGAGATATGGGTGTCACCTGTAGGGTCCATACTGCGGCGTTTATTAGAATTCATGCTGTGGAACATCCAGTGACACGGACATCGACGGGCGAGCAAATGCGTACAGGGGAATCTAACCCTGGGGAGCCAGCTCTGATTCAGGGGTAACGTCGAGGGAAGTCTTCAAGTCGGACACTTGTAGATGACCACGGGCGACCAGGTGCCCCTGGCCACGCGCCATCTTAACCTCTCTGCCCCGCGTACATGCCATGCCCTCAGGGGCACTCCGCCAGGGGACCGGAGCGGCCGTGGCAGTGGCTGAGGTTCGT